AGCCACCTGCCCCCTCTAACTGTTGCCCCTCTTTTTGTCTGCCCCCTCCTCATTCAAGAATTCTTATGCAATTCCTTCAGCCCCACTTTTTCTGACTGCCCTCCCAGCACTCAAGTGCTTTTACCATTTCCTCCATTTACACCAGCATACAGCAGAGGAATCTGGTTCTGATTACAAGTGCCAGAAACACAGAACTCCAAGGCATATAAGCACAATGAGCGAGGTGAATGGTGACTTGCCTCTGTAGCCACTGGTTGGCCCCAAATCATTCACATTACAGTATGTCAAAAAAAGGGAAGAGGAGGAAGGGAATTTTGCGAGTGCAGCAGACTCTGCAGCAAAATCTGAACTGAAAAAACTCATTTTATATAACAAAACAAAGTTTAATAAAAGCAGTTGAATTCAGAGCCTGTCACCCTAGCAAGTATCCTGTTTCACCTGTATTCACATAAAACACGGTACCAAATATTGCAGCTATTTTATGCTTGGTACAATTATCAAAACAAATATTCAAGACAGTAACATCATGGCTGACTAGTTATATGACAGTTTCTACACCCTTTTGGAAGTGTGGGGGCAGAGGGAAATGGGGCACTGTTAAGGAAGTAGGTTTGCTACAGGAAACAAGGTGAGAAAGGGGGTGGAAAAAATCAGCGTCCTTGAAAGTTGTCAAACTTCCGAAATACGATTTGGAAAACAAATCCCTAGAAAGATAGTGTCAGGAATAATTTAATAGTTGGAGGTTTAAAGATGATGAAGAATAATTATTCCATATCAAGCATGGGACCGTCTCCCCCCTGCTCCCAATCCTAAAAATAAGGTAATAATATAAAGGGAGGCTAGCCCTAATAAAGATGGAAGACACACCACTTACAAAAATGGCAATGAGAATGCAAAAAAAACCCCCAAAACCTGTAGTAGTTTATACTTAAATACCTGTTATACAATCTCTTGTACAAGTCTATATTCCCAGCACTTGTGTTCAGTCTCAGAAAGCTTTTAGCTCCTTTCTCAATTGCTGTTCTCCCACTAGAGAAATAAGTATTTCTGTAACGGACATAAGGTTTAGTTATAATAGTGATGTGTCATGTAGAAGACTAATTAAGAACAAAACCAACGAGCAATCCCACCAAAAAATAAATAAATAAGAAAGATTTGCTTCAATCTAAAACAGATCAATAGTTATAGAACATTAAATAAAATCACAATTAAGATGTACAGCAGAAGAATTAAACTTTACTTCCATGATTGTTCTCAGTGCCCACTTACACCAAACAATAATGTTTTATTTTAAACTCATTTTTTCATGATCAACAGCTCTACCTACTGCACAGACTGAGGGTTATGTCTACAACACTTCCACAGCTCTCCAAGGAACACTGCCTGCCTGGTCCCACAAGTGTATGCCAAGCCCAGAAGTGTGGAAGTCAAGTTGCATGGAAGGATACTGTAATTAAATGGTGGCACTCTTATGAAACACCACCATGAAAAGTGATTGGTGTCCTCAACAGGTCAGGACTTTCTGTGCAATACTGACCATAGTGAACTAGTTTGGATAAGGATGCATTTTATAAAGCAATTTTATTCCCATGTTCTGCTTGCATTATATGCACAAACTTTCATCCTACCATTGATTGAATGTTATATATTACATGCTTTAACACCACTTCATTTTGCTTCTGCGATAACATATAACCTTTTCTATATTGTGTCTCTTCTATTTATGAAAACTGGACTAGTAATTTTACAGCAGATATCCATCTTTAGGAGTGGGGGAGGGGGGAAAGAACATAATGAAAGGATTGCCTTGGATGTACATCTTCATTGCTTTAGTTTCACAAGTAGGTTTCTTATACTTACACATTATACCCCATGTCTTTACATGCTGTCTTTCCATAGTCATCATTCCAGTCATCTGCGCATACAGGATGCCAGGATTTGTTCTCTGATGAGTAGACCTCCAGAATGAAATTGGGTCCATAGAGCCTAACTGCCACCAAGAAAGACAACATTACTGACCTCATTCCTCAAAACCCAGGACATTCACATTGCTAAAAAAGGTATTTTTATTTCCTGTTGCTATAAACAAGCACCAAGAGTACCAAAATCAAAATAACAGAAAAAGATTGTTTCACTCACGTATTTGAAACTAGCTACTAAAAGCGTTGGTCAGTGTTATCCCTTATAGTCAGTTCCCCATCTGGTTTGGTCTTTCACATAGCAACAAGACAACTGCCCCCCACTCCCCACTTCTGAATAGTAAAAATAGGTTTGTGGAATTATAACAAATCAGCAAAAGTGCAAAGAAATGCAGTACCTGAAGCTATCTTATATGAACTAGATTTCAAGTTGATGCCATCTCTTTAAACAGATATTTTTGTCAAATTTTAATTTCCTGGAGGATTACATAAAGATGTGTTTATTTTGCCTAAGTCCACTTGAATGAGTTACTAGCTTAAAAGATATATTGACATTGTGTTATTTTTCTCTCTTTACTGTGCAGTCTTTAAATTTTCCATGCCTCATCCAGAGGGTAAGAATGAAAAGCAGTAATTAGATAAGAAGGCAAAAACATTATGTTCTCTCTCAGCATAAAAACTCAGGAGCACAGATCTGACGTGGAAATGTTTTCTCTGCCTCTTCCAGGCATTAAATATAAAGATACTATGTACTGTACATGGCAGAAAGAAGGAAGAAAGCAGGTCAGGCCAAAGATAATTGCAAAGAGACCCAATTGTTCATCCAAATAAGGGGAAAAGGATATTAAAGCAAGCAGAGCTAAAGCATACACCAGAGTACCAAAGGCAACATAGGGCCAAGAGAAGCAACCAGTACATCTCCATCCCAAAGTAATTTTCATGAAAAACACGCAGATATTTTAAAAAAAAATCAAGACAGGTGTATCTTTTGAAACTGCATGTTTATGATCTCCACCACGAAATAGTCTCTTCAGATATCTTCAGCTCAGCATGAAAGCCTTTAACTATTTCTTTAACTGAAGTCATTAGCAAGCCTCCTACCCTGAAAGTTACTTAGTGTTTTTTGCAAAGCAAGGTTTTTGGTGGTGATAGTATTGTTGATCTGGTGGGCGAGTGAAGGGAAATTCTTATAGAGGGATTGTAGAGAGAATATGAAATAAGCTAACCCACATCAACGAATTCAAGCAGAATCGTAGGAACACAATAATTTCCTATAGACTAAGTATGAGAGACATCTTCAAGTAAATTAACTTATGATTTCTAAACTAACCTAATTAAAAGTGGCACAAGGCCCTGCACACACCTTTATATCAGCTTAGCAAGCCATTAGGAATAAATTTGGGATAAACTAAGTCAGTCTCAAACCAAAATAGGACAGTCCACACAGGCGTCTGAATCAGTTTAAATTGGTTTAGAGTTGCATCATACATAAACTAAGCTGGTAAAACTTAGAAAAATACAATTTTACCTTTGCATACTTGAAGTACCTACCACATCGGTTTTCATCTTCACCATTAGGACAGTTGAAGTGTCCGTCACACCACTGGGATAATGGCACACATTGCCCTGAAGACCCACATTCTATTGAAGAATCCAAACACGGATCCTGCACTGCAAGGACACAAATGCACAACCATTAATTTATCTTAAGGTTCATTTATCCACAAATTATTACTTCTACTGACTTTTCCAGCAGCATAATCAATTTAGTTAAGATAGATGTGGAAAGATTATTAACTGAATAACTTGGGGACTTCTGTATGAAAAAAAGAGGGCAAGAGCTGAGGACAAAAATGGAAAAGTAGTTTAGGCTTTTTAATCCTACATGTCATCATTAATAATTGTCAAAGCAGTTTTTATTTATTAACTCAGGGCTGTCCACCTTCTAAGCACATCAGAGCCCCCTCTCTCCCACCACTCCATGTACACACTATATCAGGCAGGCACTCGAGCCTTACTCTCAGCTTCCTGAATACAGAGTCCCATGCTGCGTTGCAGCACTGGGACACCCCTAGCCATAGGTTTCCATGAGACCATGGGCTACACCAGGGGGCAGGGACAGGAAGTAGAAGCTGGGAGACTTCAGCTACTGCTGCAGCCATAGCAAAGGAAGGTAACAGCAGCCTGGTGGGAGCCCAGGAACCACAAATTAGCCCTTCACAAGCTGCATGCAGCCCATGAGATGCCAGTTGGACACCTCTGTATTAAGTGATTAGATTTCATGGTAACTCCAGTGAACTTCAAAAGCAGTGTTAAGCTCATAACTCACTCTGCCAGCTATAGCAAAAATTAAATGAAACAGGGAAAGAAAATAGCTTTGTTTAGTTGCCACCTCTTGGTAGATACCATTCTTACAGTGATTGGGATTAATTTAAATCAGTGGTTTTCAACCCGTGGTCCACAGTGACTAGGTCTGAGGGGTCCACAAAAGACAACTATGATCAGTCTAAAGTATGTGAATCCCCACACTTACAATTCAAAGGGGTCTGCCCCCCCATTCAAAATTTCCAAGGGGGTCCACAAATGGAAAAAGGTTGAAAACCACTGATTTAAAACAACACTTATTTTCACATTAAAATTTGGAAGTCTGTTCAAAATAGCTCCAAATTAAAGGCAACCACACATGCTCTCTCCCTCCAGGATTCCTCATTCACTTTTTTCAAGTCAGCCAACACGATGAATGAAAGGAATATGTAAACTTGTTTTGGTTGTGGGGGGTAGTCATTTGCAATTCAGGAGATTTGGCATTCCTTATCCTGTAGGTATTTTTAATTTAAAAATTTGAAATGAATAAAATCTGAGTCTAGTAGTTTTACTCAGCATCGCATTCAACAAAAGTCTAAAGTCTCTAACTTATGTCATTCATTCTTTTCCCTGAAGTCAGGGAATGAAACAGTGTGGGAAGTTTTAAAATTTATTTTGAATTTAAGCGCAGAAGCTAAATGCTTAGTTAATGTTCACTCAAAACCTTAGAGCCAAGGAAGCTCTGGAATAACTTAAGCCCCAGGTCAAAAGTCTTGTAAAAGCCCTTTGCACAGAGTTAAACTGCACTTCACACCACTGTATCTGAAGTGATAACAGCTGTATAAAAGCTGGTGCTATAGTAGTAGCTGTCAGGAAGCTCAGGATGGGCTGATGCATAAGAGTTGGCAACAAGCGTCAAAAAATTGGTGGAGGTTAATTGTTTCAAATATATTTACATGTCATTAAAAAAAGAGAAAAGGAAAACAGCAGCAGTGATGCTGGTTATACTTATAACAGGTAAGTAGCCCTTCAGATTAAAAGCTAAAAATGGATTTTATACCAGGAAAAAAAAAAGGAGAGAACTAAAACTTCCCTGTCCTAATTCACCATCAGATGGAAAAATGAGACTCTTTCCAAAAATAAGCGTGCCAAGACATCTTACGTTTCATAATTTTAATATCATGCAGATCCTTACCAAAATACCAGATAAGGAGTGCTGCAACTACTGCACCTGTGAGGATTACTGCAACAGCTAAGACAATGCATAAGGTTTTCTTAACACCTACAAATAAAAAGGGAGAAAAAGAAAAGTTAGAGAAGGAGGCTAACCTTAGATCTCTTATCTGGAATCTATCTGTGCAGAAGTTTAAGGCACAAATATCAGTCACTAGTACGAAGGTATGAACCCAAGCAGGCAAGGTTCTTTGGGTAGATGTGATATCTTTTATTAGACCAAATGAGTAGTTGGAAAAAAGTTCTCATCAAGCTTTCGGGCACAATCACCCATAGTGACTGCACCCAAAAGCTTGCTAAGAGCTTTTTTCCAACTACTCAGTTGGTCTAATAAGATATATCACATCTACCTAAAGAACCTTGCCTATGTTCTTAGACCAACACAGCTACAACCAACTACCCAGGCATGAACCTGAAATCCAGAAGTCTCTATAGGCCCACGCTCTTCCAAAGGAAGAATGTGGTGCTTATGGAATATTTCACTCAGCAGGAGAGCATGGAAAGAAAGATCTTTCATCTATCAGGATATCAAACTACAGCAAACCTGCATAGTAAGAAATCCAGACAAGTCTTACCTGATGTGCACAGTTTCTCAGATGAAGGCTTTGGCTGTACTACCACTGTAGCTGGATGTTGAGGAGGAACACTTGGAACATAATGTGGCACTGATGCAGGATGGCTTGTAGGAGTGTACTGTGGATAGCCGTTAGTGTTTACAACGTGCCTAGAATTACAGAAACTTTCTGGCTCATAGCCGTGATTTTCATAGTATGGTGGTAGCCCCTAATAACAGCAACAAAAGAGAGGGAAACAAGAAATAAGAGGGGGGGAAGAAACATGTGCTGTGTAATATTGCAAAGTCAGAATACAGAAGTTTCTAAAACAGTGTTTTTGCATATGTGCTATTGATACAATAAAACCCTAATTCAGAAAGGTATCAGTCATGCAATAGAGGATTTACAAAATCTGAATATTGGAGTGAAAGACAGACACCTTCAACTGCAGGGGGACTACATTTAGAGACAGTTTAAATTAATTTCTAATACACTGCCCCTCAAATAAGTCTTGCATGCATATATTGAATTCTTTTAAAATGTTAAATGTTTTGCTTCCCTAGTAATATCTAATATTTCTTTTATACAGTGAAAAAAAAAGACTGCAGAGGAGAACAATGAAACCAATTATACACCAAGAACTATTATAGTCACTAGCAAATAAATCAGGAAAATAAAGAATTATATTTCTGCAAGCTTTCTTAGTTTAATTTTAGGGGGTTGTAACCATTTGAACAGTAAGATTTCTCAATGATAAACATAATTTTCCAGTTGACAGTGCCCTTTTCATCCTAAATATCAGATCTAACTAATGTTCTGCTAATATCTCATTACTTTTGTCAAATGCACTACACAACAAACAGAAGTTAGCCTAATAGAATTAAGGTAATTCATAATAGCCATCAGGCTACAACTTGGTATGCAGAATAGGGTTTTTTTATAATTATTTGTTTGTTTTTTTTCCAGCCATGGGACTGGGAAACCCACAGCAGGATACAAGTTAGAAGGAATCAACAACTATAAGCCCCATAACTCTGCATCCTAAGTAGGTTAACTGCATCTCCTCCATACACTAAGGCAAGTCTCTTCCTTGTTATACGAATAGGGAAACCTGAAGCAAAGAACTTTAAGTCAAAGTTTAATAGACTAGATTATTAATTAGTGTACTACTCAGTCAGTTGTTACCCAAAACAGAATGTTTAACTACTTACTGAGTTTGAGGCCATCCTAGCTATGTCCGTAGTGTCTACACAACAATTGAGAGAGAACCTGTAAATATAAAAGTGGCTATATAGTTATGATAAGAAACAGTCAAAAAATTCTGCATAGTAGTTTTCCATTGGAACATGGCAACACAACAAAAGCTAAATAATTTTGAGGTTATGTATAGGTTTTATGTTTTGACAAGAAATCAACCCATTGTATTTCAGTAAGGTCCAAACATTATACAAGAAGCTAAAATATTTCAAATAAAATATTTTTGTGGGGTTTGGGACACACACACATACAATTTTTCTTGCAATTCAGGACAAAGCCAGCATTTCAAACTCTCCATAGCTCCCACAAGGTGGAAGTTCCAGTTTTCAACCAACTTTAGTTTCGATATAAATCAAGTCGTGAAATGTACTGTCCTAGGTATGGCTATAATTTCATCTATACAATCTATAGCTTCTCAATCCAATAGTAAGTGAAAGCAGGAAGTAAACAAACATCAAAGCACTATCACATCTTTAAAACACACCTAAAATAAGCAACAATACTGTTGGTCAATAGTCACTGCCCTGTCCTTGCTAGACAAAAAAAAGACCCCAGATACTTCTCAGGGTTAGGGGTCTAACCCTCTACCAAGATAAGAGATTGAGAAGCATCAGAGTATTCAGAGCTGCAATGCTGCACAGGTCTGCTGAACTGCTCCAGTCCTGGCTTTTATTTCCAAGGGCTTCTCCAATCAACTGCATAGGACCACCCATGTGCTCCAGCTGATCCAAGAAGTGGAGCCCTTTCCTGAATTAAGGGCTGCTCAGCTGTCTGCTGTGGCATTTGCTGAAAACAAAATGGGTTGCAAACCACCTGGATACAAATGATCCAGAGTCTATTGTATTATCCCTACCCCTAGACCACAAAATCAGCCCTGGTTCTTGATTACATTGTGATGTTAGAACAAAATGGCATTAACAGTTTGTTTTCTAAAGACAAGTCAGTCAGACCACTGCCTACTTCAAAAAAAGGAAAAGGAAATGTCAGTTGTTTGTAAAGTGGGCAAAAGTATTTCAGACCAACTCAAGTCAGGCTTATTTGTCATACAGGCACAGTGGGCCTACACCAGTGGTTCTCAATCTTTTTAATATTCAAGGCACCCCCCTTATCAACTCCTACGAATTTAGTATCAACTGGTTGAGAACCATGGTTGTACTGGCTCAGCTTACACCTCAGTGGTTCTCAACCAGCCCAATGAAACTGGACCATCCCTAGCAACTACTCCATAGCCCAGTGAAACTGCCCCCCCAATGCCTGGTATTGGCATCGTGACCCAATGAAATTGTTCCACACACTGCTGTTTTCAGGAGGTGGTGGCAGTGCAGCAGATGCTCTTTCCTCCATTAAGTTTAATAGATAAGCCTAATGCATGCAGAAGCACACCCTCCTGCCTGTTAGTCACTTTCTGATCTGGCTCCACTGTCTCCTGGAAACAGGTGCACAAGGTAGTTTCACTTGGCTGCAGTGGCAGCACTGCGGCACTCTTGAGAGGAGTTGCAACACCCTGGTTGAGAACCAAAGCCCTAGACCCACCAGCAAACCACAAGCCCCCCTCAATGGTTACTAGTCATATAACAATTACCTTCCCAGGACAAAGGACATTAAAAAAAAAAAAGCCAGGAACAGGAGTGCAGGTCAAAGGCTAATAAATTAGGTTTCTCAGGGGGAGGAGGGAGGGGGTACATCTCACAGAGAAAACTGGATAGTGCCCACCACCCCTCAAACACAACTAAGGAGGCTATGGATATCCTGCCACTGAAATTCTGGCCAGAGACATCCATGGATAAGTAAAAGAAAGACAACCATGCAGTTGCCCAGGTTCCTTCTGGCCAAAGCCGCCTTCTTGGTCTGGCAAACAGACATCTTGGCCAGGGCCAAGAGAAAGTTAACCAAAAGGTCCTATAACTTTGTAGGGCCAAAGATGGTGAGTGCATAAAATAAAAACGGTGGGGAAAAAGTGCAGCCAGAACCTCAGAGGTTCTTGAGGAGACAGTAGAGGGACTGCAGTCTGAGGCACTTGAGATAGAGGGAAACCCTGGTTCATGGGTGTCAGAGGAGTCAGTAAAGCGTGCCAGGTACATGGCCATATTGATAGTTCTATGCAAGAACTACCAGCCAAGGTCCCTGGTGGCTTCTGCAACTAGGATGAAATACAGGCCAGTCCACTGGGGGCTCTTGTTCGCAGCCAAGGCCCACCATCTGGTGTCTGGACAGGTCACGACGGCAGGATGTTGAATGGTATGGAGCATGAACATGCAGAGCTTGTGGTGATGGGCTATTAGGAAGGGAACTGCTCCCCCAGCCTAAATGACATGGTGCAGTGAGGTGTTTAAGGGGGAGGAGAATAGGACAAGACAGGACAGCACAGGACAGTGCTGGTGAGGCAGAAGCCCCCTAGTCTTGTGTCAGGACCCTCAGAGGAAAGGCAGAAAGAAGTCGTGTGTAGTGTTCCTTTTCAAAGTTGAGAACTCTAACAAGATTTTAGCTCAAAGTTCATCTTACAACAAGATGAACACAGAAAAAGTGCGCTTTATAAAATGTAGTATAGTGACACAATGTTAAGTATTCTACAGCAGGAAATAATTTGGCTGCAAAAGTGCCACACACCCGGAAAAGATGAACCATGGAATCACTCCTACCAGAGCAATTAAAGCTCAGAAACAAACTCAACAGGTCACTGCGTAACACAAGTTGCTACTCTTCCCATGCCCTGACAATGCAAAGTTTGTGCTATTGTATTTGCTGTGCACATTTACTGATCTACACATATTGTCATTCATTCATCTTGCTGATGTTTATAACTTGGATCCCAGGACACTAAGAAAAGACCACAAAAAAAAGTTAGCTGGCTCAGTTATTAAGTTATTCTGAAAACCAGTCCCACAAATCATAATGACTTATTTTAATTGTCTTCTGCTTTGCAAGCAGTTTTCTTCCCATTTGTATGCTATAGACACTGCACCCGGATCAGAATAAGGGTGGAAACAAACATGACCTTTCATTGCCTTTCTGCTGCCATAAAAGGTTTTATGGCAGTACCAAGCAACATCAGATAGACACCCTTACCTTTTGTCTTGCCACAGTACGGCTGCAACAAAAGGTAGTAATAATATTATGCTGCTTTATTGTGGCAGATGTCTATTTGTTTTATGGTAAGAGTGCTGACAGCTCTGGCAGCAGCTGCCCACACTCTCCTGCCACCCTGGTCAGGCACATCCCGGGCTCGAGGGGCCCAGTTCTGTGAAGAACTGGGACCCTCAAGCCCCAGGAGGGCCTGCCAACTTTCCCTGCCTCCAGAAACATGCCCCCCATCAATCTCCAGTCTGAATCCAAGAGTGTGGATGGTCAGAGTTCCCCACTTCCAGACACTCACCCCAGAGATTGTCAGAGTTGCATCTCTAGATCTCCAGTGATCTCCAGCTTTCTCTCCTTCCACAGACATGCCCCAGAGCTCCCTGGGGATGTCTCTGGAAGCAGGGAAAGCCAGGACATGATGGTGCAGACCTGACTTTCCCTACTTCCAGAGACAAACCCCTGGGATCTCCTGGGTGTGCCTCTTGAAGCAATGAAACACGGTAACCCACCGTCCTGCCTATTGATCTTGCGGGACAACAAGTGACAAGTTTGATCCAATGAAGCGGATCATCTGTTCTAGGGCATGGCCTGGCATGGCTGAGACATCCCTAGATGAAGCACATATTTCTAGCCCAAGTGATTCAGAAGGGTTTTTTAATATTCCAGTTAAATAGAAATGCTCATCATCCAAAACATGTAGCAATTCACATAGACCTCAGCAAGAGGAGCGCAGGTCAGAGGATGAAAAAGTTTGGCAGAAACACCAGAAAAAATGATCCTGTGTACAGCTAGAATGTTGGCTGCATTTGCAACTTCTCTTACAAGTGCAATATTCCTTTATTCCTTCCTCCATATATACTGTACTTTCTGAAAGCAAAGGTCTTGACAACTCTAGGCATTATCGTACGCATAAGCTTACTGTTGCACCCATCACAACAAGCAGTTACTGTATATATTAACAGAACACAATTCAGGATAAAGGACTACAAAATGCTTTAGAACCTATATATGAGTCTCACTTTACTCGCTACTAACAGTACATCTGCTTAGCACTAAATTGTGCATTGTAGGTAGTCAAGTTCACCGTGCAGACAATACACAAGGTTCAAATTTCTTTGGCAGCAGATTGCAACAGCACCCTCCACCAGTTAAGAATATAACATGCTGGTATGTTAGCAATTTAGGGGGAAAGAAAAAAAGAAAAATACCCAAAGCAAAACTATGGGAAACACTTAGGCCAATGGAATATTACTACTGTTATTCAGGTAGGATGATTGTATTAACAGCTTGTTTTCTTACTTAGAAGTGCAATGGAAGCCAGAAGACCCAAGTTGTCAGAACATCTATCTTTGGTCACAGCCACTCTCCATTAGCTCTTCATGATGTTATAGTTGGCACACGAAGTTAACCCTGACCTTAGGAGAGGAACACTGCTGGAAATGTTTTTTTGTTCTCTGGAAGAAAAAAAAATATGTATGAAAAATAATGATAATTGGCACCAGAAATACTGTTTCTTAAACAAAATTTAACCTTAGTCTACACCGGTGTCTCTCAACTCCTGGGTCACAACCCACAAGTGGGTCACAAAAATATATGAAAGGATCACAAACGAACTTTAAAAATGGATGAACAAACTTTAAAAACCGATTATCCTTTAAACAGAGAAAAACGCGGGAAACCGTGGCTTCTCTCTTGCAGGCTGGCAGAGTTCCAGCCTCCAAGGGGCTGCTTGGGGGCCCTCCTGCCCATTAGCGATGCGTGGGGGGTGCACACAGGTCCACATGCGCCTCCTGAGAGAGGCTACTGGCAGTTGCTGCTCACCACCCCCTCCTTCCCTCATGCCACCGACACTGCAGCGGCCGCCTACAGGAGCTCCCCACTCACTGCTACCTGTGGGCAGTAGCTGTGCCCTCCCCCCCCAGCCTCAAGGGCACACATTATTCATGTCCCTGCCCCACTCATACCCACCCCCTGCTCCACACACTGGGGAGCTAGGGCCTGGGAGCAGCAGGTCAGGAGTGAGGGGCACTGGGTCGGAACTGGCCATCAAATGGGTCCTGGTACAAAAAAGGTTGAGAACCACTGGTCTGCACCAGGATGCTTTTGTCATTTTCTATGGTGGAACCTAGACCTCGTGGGACACATGCAGTAGGCATTTTTCCACTACTAGAGTTACACCAGCTTCCCCAAAAGACAGGAGCTCAGCCCCAAAAGACAAGGCACGGCTGCATCCACACCAGGAAGTCTGCCAACATAGCTAAGTTACTTAAGCAAAACAATCTTTTCACACTCCTGGCTGGCACAGCTCTATAGCAGAACTCTAATTTAGACAAGGCCCCAAAAGCAGCTCAAGAGAACAGAGTACATCTATAGTACTGCATGCAGCCACCAGGTTGGGAGGGAGGAGGGGATGCCAGACCATGAGTATGTCACACTAGAAATGATTAGCTTCCTAGAAGTTAAATCCACAGCCAATTTTAACCATACAGCTCTGATGCTGTAGGACTCACATTTTTTACATTATCCTGTGATGTGCTCCAAAGAATAGTCACACATCAGGTCCAATCATATTTCCATTGATTTCAACAGAAAGACACACTATCTTCACTAACATGATCTGTAGGAATCAAGTGCAATGCCCTCTTAGAACCCTTTCCCCCCTGCTCCACAACAGCAATCTTTATGAAGGGATTTTTGAAGATGTCAGCCAGCTTGGACTCCAGCATCTTTGTTCTTCCTTCTAGTTATTACCCTATGAAGGTTTTAAACTACCATTAGTTATTAACTGGTATAAAAGGGAAGAATGAAGCTAATGCAGTCATCAGCAACACTTTCAACAGAGCTTTAGGTTTGAGTTCAAAGGCATGTCAGCATCACCTATTACAATGTCATGGAGTGGTACATGGACAAGCTCTAACTGAACTACCCCAGATAACAGCATGCGGTACAACTACCTTAGTACATTGCTCTGAAAAGGCTTAATTAGCCCTGCAGTGATGCAGGGACTATTAGCCTAGGCAGACCACCATGCTAACATGGCTTTCCTACTTCTGCTACCCATGCTAACAGATTCGAAGTGAGCTCAAGTGCATTCGTAGTGCCATGTGCACATACCCCCCAAGACCAGTCATGCAAAGTTCTAAACGCTCCTTAGCTTGTGATGTCCAGTGAAATCATAATTTGAGTTGGTGTGGATGCAGGGCAACTCTAGTCACATCATGTATTTATATCCACATATTGAGTGAGTTTATCATTCCATGCTTGTTAATTACCTTTAAAACTATAGTTCAAAAGAATTAAAATACCATTGAGAGTAGTCAACTTTCAGTCCAAAAAAGGAGTTTGAAAAACTCGGACCCACCACTGCAATAAATAGCACACTGTATATACGCACACCCCTTCAGGGCAGGAATCAAAAGTATTTGTGCAACTAAGACTGGAAAGTTTTTCTATTTCAGTCAAAGCAAATGTACTGTGTAGAAAGCAGGTTTTGTTTTCAATGTTCATTCAGTAGATAGCAAGTGATTCTCCTTTGCTGTATTTTTTTAAGCAAGCTGTCCTAAGAAGATTTCTACTAAAAAGATCCTCTAAGAGTTTTATTAGAGAAATTAAATCAGGTTGTGACTTTCACACAATTCAGAACTCTGAATGACCTCATGACAAAGACAACTGGGCCAATACAGTAAAGACACTTGCATGCAAACACCACTAGTAAGAATTCTAAAAATATGAATTTTATTTCTCTGGCAAATTCTTTCTTCTTACTGCCAAGCTAGAGAGAAGGCATCCTCTCAAACAGTTTTTACCTACAGTGTTTCAATGTAAATTTTGCATTCAATTCTATTGTCATTGCTTTTAAATTTATCAGATTCCTTCTATTTAAAAAATATACAGCGTTTAAAAGACAGGTATTTTTATGGGTGGTTACTTTTATAGGACCAACTATATAGTTGGGAGGTCTATAGACAAGCTTTCCAGTACCAAAACTGGAGGAAGGTTACTCAGTACTGGAAAGCTTGTCTGTATCCCTCCCAACTCTATAGTGGGTCTCTTAGGGTGCCAAGAAATGTTCACTGCACCCAGTTTAGGCTTAAGCTGCCTAAACGTAACCTGGGAGTGACACATGCAGGCACTTGCTGCTGCTAGGAGTGGTGTGGGCAGTCAGAGGTAAGTAACCTGGAAGGGACTGGGGGTTCAAAATAGCCAGTGGGGAGGAAGAAAAAAAAAAAGGAGGGCAAGAACAGCACAGCCCTGGGACTGAAGCAAGTGGCTGGACTTCCCCAGCCCTAAGGCTGTGCTGTGAATTTTGGTAGGTTGAGTTAACCCTTCATAGAGATCAGGTTAACCCTTCCCCACCCTAAAGTTAGTTCACCCCAAGTTGAACTAACTTACATGGGGACACACCATTTTGGGGGTGATTTAAGCCCTGTGAACATCTGCACAACTGGGCGTTTAGATCAACCTAAACTTGGTTAGGAAAAAAATATGTATTTTTTTTAAATCCTTGCTTCTTGCATTTTTCCTAGACCATCACTGTTAAATATTTAGTTATTGTGCTGTATCTGAAAGCACATTGCATGGTCTAAGACAGACCTCTTGCAACATGACGTCCTTAAATATCTCCTTAGCATAGATGCAATTGTTCTGCTTTACTAAACAAGCAGACCTGCTAGAGGACAAAGCACAGAACTGGAAGCCAAAAATTCCTGAGTTTTAATTCCTGCTCTGTTGATAACTTTGTCTGGCTTTGAGTAATCTGTTTCTGTGTTAGTTCGTTGCTACCCCAACCCCGCAAAATGGCAGCAATACTTAAGTCCACACAGGATGTCTTAAAGTCAGGGGTAAGCAACCCCTGGAATGGGGCACACAAAGACATTTTGCTTGGCACATGCACCTTGGCTCGGATGGTGGGGAAGGAGCCAGGGCTGCACTGCCACAAGAATCAGGCCCCTCACAGCTCCCCTGCCATCCGCCCTTGGCATGCAAACATCCTACAAGTTAAGGTTTCTGGGCAGAGTGCCAACAACACCTGCAAACATTGCCACCCCCTGCTTTATGTATTACTTTATAGTTGTAGCGTTCTTTAAAGAAGCAAAATTTTATTCATATTAGCTTCCTCAAACTTTATAAAGAAGGAAGACAGAAACATGGGTCTAGACTTGAGAGCAACATCACAGGTGCTAAAAAAAGCATTACTGTTCTATAATTACCTTCACAAATCTTAATATAAGCAACATCATTCACTTCAGTCATAAGACGAGAGAGACAAACAAAAACACACTTCCTGCATTCGGGTAACAACTTGCTATCGTATTTTATGCCTCATTTCTCGAAACTTTAATCTTATTTGCTCAGTCTCCAAGATATGAATCAGCAATAGAAAAATCAGGCTAGCTATGCAAGAGCCAACAAGGAATGAGAAAAGACAAGGAAGAACACATAACACATGATGCAAATTAATAAGCTCCTCCATAACAAGGAGCAAGGTCACAGTCCTCACACACAACCACATCCAAATAAAACCTGCAAAAAAAAAAAAAGAGACTATTTTCTTGCATATCACACCCCACCCCCTTAAGAGAGGCCTTGTTTTTCCAAAGACAGAATGAAGAGACAAGATTTCCCCAATTATAGCTGCTTGGAGCAGGGACAGAGCTAAAGAGTCTTCAAGACCAAAATCGGAAGAGAGAGACCAGGAGGAGCAATTTTAGCAGATGACAAAATTGCTAGAAGCAAGGTTAGTTTGATTAGTGGAACACTGAAAACGTTAAAGGAGATGCGTTCCTTAGCACCTGTGGAGTGAAGAACAATGAGCTATTAAGTCAACTGACTCCCTCAGGTGCTTAAAAAAAATGCCACTGCCAGGCAATTGGTTTTAGAGCAAGCATCAAAGCTGGGTGCTACTATTCTGGGCAGAAAAATCAACTTCCACACTTAAGACATGCACCCCAATTTTGGGGGGCTGATTTTTTGGGGGGAAAGTGTGCATCATACAAGAGAAAATATGTATTACATTACAGTGATAAAGTCTCAGAGCCTCCCAAAAAAGAGCAAGGGAAACAGAAATACATCAAAACAATTTTGTCTGCTTTGCAGTCTCCCAAGACCCAGTGAAAAAAATCAAGACTCTTCTGCTAGACATTCAGTGAGCAGGTAAGGAAAAAATGTGCCTTCCCCGAAGAGTTTACAGTGAAAAAAGACAAGACAAAGACTATAAACCTCTTTCTACAAACAGGCCATTGGTACATAGAGATGTACTAGCTTGCCCGAGTTCACCAAGCAACCAGTAGAACAACTCCAGTGCAGAGATTTGCCTTTAAAACAAAAGGTGTTACAGCTGTCTGGTTAATGAGACCACCAAAGAAACTACCTTTTTAAAACAGTTATTGTAATGTAATGAACCCCCTGCAAATTTTCAAACCACCAAAGCTACTGAAGGATTTGAGCAGAGAAGTAAAGAACCTGTCTACAGCAGCAGTTCCCAATCTGTGGTACGCGTACCACCAGTGGCACTCAGACAACCTGTCAGTGGTACGTACACGTTAATAGATTTATTAAAATGACTTTATATGGCCAAAATTTGCTGTGGTGGTACTTAAAGTTGTATCATTTTAAATTGGTGGTGCGCAATCTGTCAGAGTTTGGGAACCGCTGGTCTGGAGGTTTGTACATGGTCTTCTCATACATTGCCCAGTCCCGCAGCCTTTACTGCCTCAACCAGATATAAAAAGCAAGCACAAGATTCCTGTTGAAACAAGCAGTACTCTGTAACATTTCCATTGGTCAAATATGAAAATATCAATTACAGTGTAATGAATGTGTTGAAATATCCTATTTTCCATTATTTTAAAGGAAAAGAATTAATAAAATAATCCAGTCTCAAGAGGTTTTCTTTCCAGAGGTAATATCAGTCCTTTTCATCTAGGCACGGAGACCTTCTCAACCAGGGTGCTGAGAGTTCCTTTCAAGGGTGACACTAAGGGGAGGAGGGTGCTTAATGTTAGCACTGTTAGGTCTGCCAACCCTTACGTAGTTCACAAGGTAAATTCAGAGATTTCTCACAAGAATCCACAGCATCAAAAGCACTGTGACCTGTTGTGGTCTTTCTAAGTTATTTGCTCTAGTACAATGATTCTGGACCCTTTCAGACTCAAGGCACCCCTCAGAAAATGTCAGTTCTTAGTTATCACTCTCGTTTTTTTGACTACAGAAGAAACAGAGCAATTCTTGTTGCAGGAGAAACCACAACAGGGCAGAATACTTTTGACACTGTGGATTCCTATTTGAAATCTCCAGGTTTATCTTGTAAATCAAGTTTATACATCTAACAGCGGCATCTCCTTGGCACCCCTAGAAGGATCTCTAGGCACCCCAGTGATTCTAGCTAAGAATCACTTCTCTACTACTTTTTCATAGTCAAAAAACAAGAGAAAGGTAGGAGCTGAGATTTTCCAAAGCGCATCTCAAGTCTAATGAGGTTGAGAACCACTGGCCTAGACACATAGAGTTGAACACACCTCTGTGCAAAGGGTCAACACAGGGTCTGCATCTAAGATACGGCCCACTTAAAACCCCCAAATTGGACGTTTTCCTGGTACATCAGCCACAAACTAGTCTTCTGTAAAGGGATGAATTCAATCAAGATACGGGAATTATGTTCATGTGTTCAAGGTTAAACCCATCACTCACTTTAGGGTCAGGAAAGATTGCCTAGTTCAAAATGGCAGGACCATTTGCTGCATGTGTGCGGGGAGGGGAGCTGGGGGTCACTTACTTTCCTCTGTAGCATGGGTCATGGCTCAATTCCTCAGATAACTAGGCATATTTCACCTTACAGGTTCTTTGCCATCAGAGAGGCCCGATTGGCATGGACGCAGTGCCACAGTATCATGGCAACACTGCTCTGACAGGGTCTACTTTTTCCAATGCATCAAGCTGCTGAGCTACAATTTATCATGACGCTTAAAGGAAGCAGTAAAGGAAGTGTTTCTGTTAATATTGTATGTATACTATTGGGTCATAGTACTGCAATACTTCCCAGATTAAAAGGCCAAAAGTCTCTTAACCCTATCCACACCAGAAGTGTTCTGCTTCAAGAACTGAAGAACTGTAACAGTAGCAAGAACTTTTAGTTAAACAGAAAAAAAAATTAAAAAGAAAAGTATTCATAATGCCACAAAACAGAAACAATACCCTGAAACTTAAATAGCATAGGTCAGTCATGCAATG